TTTTTATTAATATTTAATGAGAATAAAATATATTTTTTAATGTAATTTTCTCAAATTTATTTTTATCATATTTTTTCATATAGGTGTGTGAAAATGATCAATTCAATTTTTTAAGGAAACTTACTTTCAAAGTTTTTACTTTAAAAATAATGCTTCTCATGCAAAAAAACATGTTTTTATCAAAATCAAAACATGTGTGAAATTTTTTCTTTGTTTTTTGATTAAAAAAATATGTTATTTCCTTTTTAATTCCAATCATTATAGTTTTTTAATATATTTTTTTCCTAGTTGCTTTGCTTTTTTGTTCAATGAACCATGATGTTAATAAAAAAACTATTTTACTATTAAAATTTTAAAAAAATCATATGAATAGAAATTTTTTTTGAAGAAAATAAATACATTTTTCATCCATAATTTTGTTAATTGTATTTTTGCTAATGTATATTATTATTATTATATAATTAAATAAAAAATAAAATTTTAAAAGTAAAATTATTAAAACTAATATTATAATGCAAACTATGTTTCTAAAAAATTTAAATATTTTTTATAAAAAATAATTTTTTTATATATTTTGAATCATTTTGATAAGCTGATCTTAAAAATAATTTTTTTAAAATAAAAAAATATTTTAATATATTTTAATATAAAAAATATTTTAAAAAATAACCACAACAATTTTTCCAAACAAATAAATACCAGAATAAATTAAATTAAATAATACAGTGAAAAAACCCCATACGGTAAGGCGTGGACAACCATGCTAGCTGGTTTCTAAAATTCAAACAGATCCAAGATTGCCTTGTCCTCAACTATTGAATTTATACTAAGAGTTATGCACACGAATCCATCGTATACAGACCGCTCATTTTAGATGAAAGGGGCCAGCAATGTTCTTCAGAAAAAACCATAAACCAGTTGACAATGGAGCACCATCCAAGTATACATAGAGCTTCTTTCTGACAATGACTAGCGGGGTTATCAAGTCCTCATACACAATTCTTGGATGTACTTTTGGTGTCTTGTAAACAAGTAACAACAAGTTTTGCTACAACGATCCAACCACAAACATATTGATCAAAGAAAAATTCCAAACACTTGCTGATGCCGGCTATCGTTGACACCAACAAAGTAAAATTATCTTCCTTTGTCGACTCCCTATATAAGACCTTATGTTTGAGGTTGTTTTCACTCAAATAACGAGAAATATACTACTCTTCCTTTGTCGACTCCCTGTATAAGACCTTATGTTTGAGGTTTTTTTCACTCAAATAACGAGAAATATACTACTCCTCTTACTAATATGGAAGATCGGAGTGTCAAAATATTACCAACTATGTTGGTTACGATCCTTCTTTTTCTCACTTCCATGTTTAGCTCAACACGGGCTCGAGCTGTTATTGATCCATTACCAAGTTCATCCAGCACTAAATCCATTATAAAGCAGGAAAGCAACTTGGTAACTTACATTATCTTCTTAAAGAAACCGGAAGATATGGTGTCTGCTGAACGCGAAGAACTGGATAGCTGGTATCAATCATTTTTACCAGCAGTTACCACCTCAAGCTCAAACCAACAGCGCTTGGTACATTCCTACCACAACGTGGTCACGGGGTTTGCTGCAAAACTTACAGAGAAGGAAGCAAAGGCTATGGAAATGAAGGAAGGGCTCGTGTCAGCCCATCCCCAGAAGGTTTTCCGTGTGAAGACAACTCATACTCCTAGCTTCTTGGGTCTACAGCAAAATTTAGGATTTTGGAACCACTCCAATTATGGAAAAGGAGTGATAATTGGAGTCTTGGACAGTGGAATAACACCAAGTCACCCTTCATTTAGTGACGAAGGAATGCCTCCTCCACCGGCAAAATGGAAAGGGAAATGTGAACTTAATGGAACTCTATGTAACAACAAGCTTATTGGTGCGAGGAATTTTTATTCTGCAGGTAAACCCCCAGTTGATGATAATGGACATGGGACACACACAGCAAGCACTGCTGCTGGAAGTCGAGTACAGGGTGCTAGCTTTTATGATCAGCTCAATGGAACTGCTGTTGGCATAGCTTCCTCAGCTCACCTGGCAATATATCAAGTTTGTGACGGGTTCGGTTCTTGTGAAGAAAGCAATATATTAGCTGGAATGGACACTGCAGTAGAGGATGGCGCCGATGTGCTCTCACTGTCCCTTGGTGGTGGATCGCTACCATTCTACGAGGATTCAATTGCAATAGGTGCATTTGGTGCAATTCAAAAGGGCATTTTTGTGAGTTGTGCTGCAGGGAATGAAGGACCTTATAAAGAATCATTATCAAATGAGGCCCCATGGATCCTCACTGTAGGAGCAAGTACCGTTGACAGAAGCATAAGAGCAACGGTGTTGCTTGGAAACAAGGCGTCATATGATGGGCAATCCTTTTACCAGCCAACAAATTTTTCTTCAACGTTGTTGCCACTTATTTATGCTGGTGCTAATGGTAGTGATACAGCAGCATTCTGCGATCCAGGGTCCTCGAAAGATGTTGATGTCAAGGGAAAGGTTGTGTTGTGTGAGAGTGGTGGATTTTCAGAATCAGTTGATAAAGGCCAAGAAGTGAAGTATGCTGGTGGTGCTGCAATGATTATCATGAATGATGAGCTTTCTGGCAACATTACCACAGCCGATTTCCATGTATTGCCGGCATCAGATGTTACTTATGCTGATGGCTTGAGTATCAAAGCCTATATAAAGTCAACATCATCACCGATGGCCACGATACTTTTTAAAGGAACTGTTTTTGGGGTTCCGTATGCCCCCCAGCTTGCTTACTTTTCCTCAAGAGGCCCAAGTTTGGAAAGTCCGGGGATCTTGAAGCCAGACATTATAGGCCCTGGCGTTGACATTCTAGCTGCATGGCCATATGCTGTGGACAACCACAGGAATACAAAATCCACATTTAATATGATTTCAGGCACCTCAATGGCTACTCCCCATCTTAGTGGGATTGCAGCATTGCTTAAAAGCTCGCACCCTCACTGGTCACCTGCTGCCATAAAATCTGCAATAATGACTACTGCTAATTTAACGAATCTTGGAGGAACGCCAATTACTGATGATAGCTTTGGTCCAGTTGATGTGTTTGCCATTGGTTCAGGCCATGTGAATCCAACAAAAGCAGATGATCCAGGGTTTGTTTATGATATCCAACCCGACGATTACATTCCCTACTTATGCGGTCTTGGCTACAATAACACAGAGGTAGGAATCATCGTGCAGCGCCCTGTGACATGCTCAAACAGTTCCAGCATACCAGAAGCACAGCTAAACTATCCTTCATTTTCTATAAAATTGGGGTCAACTCCTCAGACTTACACAAGAACGGTAACAAATGTTGGCCCTTTCAAATCATCTTACATTGCTGAGATCATTGCACCACAAGGTGTTGATGTTAAAGTAACACCCAATGCAATTCCATTTGGCGGGGGGGATCCAAAAGCAACCTATTCAGTAACATTTACTCGAACTGCCAACGTGAACTTGCCATTTTCTCAGGGATATCTGAATTGGGTTTCTGCTGATCATGTTGTTAGAAACCCAATTGCAGTTACATTTGAATAGGAAAAGTCTTAGGGTCTTGGCCATGTCATCTGATGTTCTTATAGGTTGTCTGATTTATGCCGTCATAGCATACATCACTTTGAATCAATTGAAACTAAAAACCAACTTGTTTGAGAAATTGATTTGTGTATTTGTACGTGGTGTATGTCTCCAATAAATATATTGCTATTTTTATCTTACATGAATATATTTCGTACTAGGGTTACTTGTCATCATTAAGATAATGAGTGCAGAAAAAAAAATCAATCTATAAAAATTTAACTTGATGTCATTTTTATTTTATTTTATTTTATTTTTGCATAAAAATAAAAAAAATAAAAAACTAACATGAAAAATAAATGAGTTTTTGTATATTTCTTGGTCAATGAAAAGTTGATACAAATAATGAGATATTTAATACATTTTATCATAAATACAATATCCCATGAATAAAAAAAACCAATAAAATAATATTATATAGTATGGAAAAGATATTTGATTGTTTTTATAAATCTTTATAAATAAAGGATCTCACCTTATATAAGAAGGAAGAATTTTCTTAGGAGATGCACAATTTTCTTAGAGACAAGCTCTTCAAGTAAAGAATCTTTCATAAAAGCTCTCAAATCTTGTTTTTTTATACTTGAAATCTATAAAGGACAAAATTCTATTAGATCAAGCCTAAAGTCTCATAAAAGTTCTTTAACAAAATTTTAAGATAAATCAAATATACTTTTTAAAGTATTTAATAATCAAATCTCGCTCTACAATATATACCTAAATTCATATTCTTGTATAACACAAATCTTGTTTGATTTCAAAAATTAATAAATCAAGTCACCATAAATTGAATTCAAGAAAAAAAAATAAAAAAATTGTTTTATTCTTTTGTAAGAATATTTTAAACATGGATAATCCCCAATTATATATTTTAATAAACTCAAATATTTATATCCGTGTGCTTACCTAATTTTCTTACCTAATTTTCAGGTAAGATGTTTTGAGGATTTCCATTGATTTCAAATATTTAAACATGGATTATACTCAATCATATATTTTAATCATAATCTTGTTAGCCTTAATTGTATTTTAAAAAACCTAAACTCACAACAACAAACAACAAATTTGAATTACAAAATCTTATAATATTATTTTAATAGTTAATACAAATATTTTAATTACAATAAAAAAAATTCCTAATAAAATTGAGTTAGAGGTGGAGGAAGAGAAAAAATTTCTAGACTAAAAGGTCCTAAAAAGGGAGGATAATATGTCAAAAAGCATGCTTGTATTTGGTTGCATTACTTCTTGCTTTGTTCTTCATAATTTGCCTTTAGATTAGCCTTTAAAATAGGATGATTGTTCATCAACTTGTTATTGAACCATTTCTTAAATGACTAGTGATGGCTAGCTGAGACTAGATTGTGAAGTGTCTATAATAATAATAAAAAAACTTATAATTCACCCTCATATCTTATGTCATAATTATAAATATTGTAAACTCGATTTATATAGGTTCCATTAATAGCTCTAGTTTTCAACTACAACTTGATAAGGATAAAAATGCATATAATGATAAGGATAAACCTCAGCATAATAAAGATAAAACCTCAGCATGTTGAGCTTATCGAAAAACATTGAAATTAGTCTCGTTGTGTTTAAAATTTTGTTTTCTTGTTTATCCTTAGATTCTCTTCTATATGTAAACTTTTATAAAGATAAATGGTCTGTAATAAATTTTGAATATACATATTTATGGCTGAGAGAACACAGTTCATCTCATATATTTGTAAAAATATTTTAATTCTTTCATGGTATTAGAGTAACCCTTTTAACAATCCTATAACTGTTACAACATATTCTTTACTATCTCCTGCTGCATTTTATCTTCCAACTCAAGTGATTTCCATCAAACTTGATGGACCTAACTTTCTTGCTTGGTCTACCCAATTGCTTCCTTTATTTTGGAGCTATGGACTTATGGGAATTATTGATGGTTCTAATTTCTGTCCTCCTTAATTTTCCTACGAAGAACACAAGGCTCAAGGGATTCTTAATTCTACTTATCTAGCTTGGAAGTATAAGGACCAAACCATACTTGGCTAGATTATTTCTTCATTATCTCCTACTGTGGTTTCTATTATTTATGGCATTGAGACTTCTCATCTTTCTTGGCAGGCCCTGGTGCATATTTTGCTGCGCCCTTAACTTCTAGCATTTCTCTTATTAAAAGAAAGTTATAGTCTTTACAGCAAGGTTCCTTATCTTGTCAGAATTTTTTAGATGAAGTTAAGAATCTTACTGATGAACTCTTTGCTGTTGGGAAACTAATTGCTAATTTTGATTTAATATTATTTGTTCTTAATAGACTTAATCTTCATTTCATTCTTTTGTCACTACATATATGCTTCTTTCTAAAAAGAGAAGATCTATGCCTTTTTCAGAGTTCCATGCAAAACTGTTGAACTATGATTTTATGCAACAATTTTGTAGCCACTCTATTCAATCTGAGGCTAGCTTATATGATCTTTACTCATATAAACTTGGCTTCAAAATAGGTTCTCACCACAACAATGCTAAATCTCGCTTCTTAAGGATGCCTAAAGGTTCAGGTGGTGCTTCTTCCTAGTTTAGGTAGTCTTTCCCTCATTTACCTCACACATCTCCATGCCTTCCTCTAAAACTTGCTCTTGCTCACCATGCCAAATATGTAAGTGTGAGGGGCAATAGGCCTTGGATTGTTTTAATCGAATGAATTACACATTTCAGGGTCATTATCCTCTTATTAAATTAGCCATCATGGTTGCAGAGGTTACTACCACTTATTTAAATCAAAAGCAATGGTATGCGAATAATGGGGCTAATATTCATGTTACCTCTGATGTTACTAATCTTGCAACCTTCAACCATATGAAGGTGATGATTCTGTTGGGGTAGGCAACGGAACATGTTTTCCCATATCTTGCATTGAAAATGCTTCTATTAAAACCTTATCTTCTACTCTTACTTTAAATAATATTGCCTGCTGTCCTTCAGCCTTTGCTAATCTTCTCTCGGATGATTCTGTTGGGGTAGGCAACAAAACATGTTTTCCCATATCTTGCATTGACAATGCTTCTATTAAAACCTTGTCTTCTACTTTTACTTTAAATAATATTGCCTACTGTCCTTCAGCCTTTGCTAATCTTCTCTCTATCAATAAATTTTGTAATAATAATAATGTTATGTTTGAACTCACTAGTTCTAATTTCTATGTGAAGGACATTTTGGTGAGGGACACGCTTCTAGCGGGACCAAATGACAATGGATTGTATTCGATTAACCTTCGTCAACTTTCTTCCTCCCTATACAGTGCTCTCACAATGATTGTTGGAGTTAAGGCTTTTACCTCCACTTGGGATTATTGTCCAGAACATCTTTTCATGGACATTTTTCATCGTGTCATTTCTAATTTTTCCCTTCTAATTAATGATTCAATCAATAAAAAATATGTATGTGTGTCTTGTCAACTAGGCAAGTCCAGACAATTACCATTCTCTAATTCTTTAAAAGAATTTACCACTCCTCTTGAATTAATCCATTCTAATATTTGGTCTACTTCCACTCCATCTTTAAATAGTTATTGCTATTATGTTATTTTTATTGATGGTTTTACTCATTTTTGTTGGATGTTTCTATTTCAAATAAATCTGATGTTTATTCTACCTTTGTTAAATTCAAGCTTTTAGTGGAAAAACAATTCAACTCCATCATTTGACAATTTCAAAGTGATAATAGTGTTGAATATTATTCTAGCATCTTTAAACAGTTTTTTTATTAACAATGGTATTTTTCATCTTGTGATGTCCACAAGCATCTCAACAAAATGATCTTGTTGAGAGAAAATATCGTCATATTATGGATATTGGGCTTACTTTTCTTGCTCAATCTGGCTTATCTAAAAAATTTTAGGTTGATGCTTTCCTAACTATTATCTTTATAATTAATTGATTACCTACCAAAGTTCTTGATTATTTATCACCCTATGAACGCTCTTTTCACCATCCAACTAACTTCAACTATTTTTGAGCTTTTGGATGTCAATGTTTTTCATGTCTTTATCCTTAAATATATGATAAATTATCATATCATAGTACACATTGTATTTTCATTGGTTATAGTTCTAATCACAAAGGATTTCATTGTTTAGACCCTTCATCCAGATGTGTCTACATATCTCGAAATGTGATTTTTGATGAAGAGAAATTTCCAGCACAATCCATTCTTATAGATCCTATCAGCTGCGTCTCCTCCTCAAGTAAAACTCTAGGTTTGTCCTTCACTCTTTCTTCTTATATTTCCTACTAATCATCTAATTCTCATATATCCTGCTCATCATCTGATTTTTCTCCTCCATATGAATCTTCTTTACCACAATTACCTCATGTTTGTGACTCACCCAACACTGTTTCCTTCTTATCTATGTCAGTTTTTAATCCTTCTGCTGCTCCCCAAGAGATTAAATAGCTTAATCTCCAAGCTGGAGATCTCCCCTCGTGTCTTCCTCTCAGATTATCACCAGATCACAAACTGGTAATCTTAAGCCTCGTAGGTTTCCTGATTTTCATTTATATTCTACTCGTCACCCCCTCCAAGCATTGCATGCAGGTTTGGTTTTTCCTGAGCCACGAACCTACTCACAATCAGCATTAATACCCAAGTGGTATGCAGCAATGGACAATGAATTTCAATCCTTATTAAAGAATAAAACTTAGTCACTATGTTTTCTTTCTCTTGACAAGAATGTGGTTCCTTGTAAATGGGTTTTTAAACTCAAACGACGACTTGTTGGTAGTGTTGAATGTCATAAGGCTAGACGGGTAGCTGTCGGTTATCTATAGAGGAGTGGGGTTAATTTTATTGAAACTTTCAGCCTAGTCATTAAACTTCCTACTATTTGCATGGTTCTCGCTCTCGCCATTTCTTTTTATCGGGACGTTCGACAGCTTGATGTTTCTAATGCCTTCCCTCATGGCTTATTA